GCAACATGTTTATGTTCACGGAGCTGATAACTACTATTATAGGGTATTTAAGAGGTTGAACAATTAATAATTACAGGGTATCTTGGCAGATAACTGTAAAAACAACTAAAATTATAGGGTATATTAGCAGTTAGCTATAACAAAAACTAATATTGCAGGGTATTTTAGCAGTTAATCATAAAAATAGCTAGTATATAAATATGCGCACATGATATTACAGGGTATACATTCAGGCAAGCAACTAGTGCGGCTACTAGATATATATGCAAAATGCTGGCACAAATATTACAGGGTATTTAAAAGTGTATTGACAATATATATGCTGAAAATTTTACTACAGGGTATTTTATAGTCTATATAACTGAAATAAATATATAAATATATATATATTTTTGAACAGTACAACTTACTTATAATGCCCAACTGATATTAGAACTAGATATATAGCTTAAGAACTCAATATTCTAGGGTATCACAGCAGCTAAAATTTCTTTTAGCTTAAACTCTAAATGCTAAGAGAGCTATAGATTGTGTGGATTTTATGCCTTAATGACAATAATAATTATTTAAAAGTCAAATTTTTTTCTATTTGTCCTTTATAATTCCCAACTGGTTTAGCACGTGAAACCCTTTTAAAATGTGTTTCAATCTCTGGCCAGGACTACGGCAAAGTAATCGTTCGATTCCCTTAGCTATTTGACTCCAGCGTAGAAGTTGCTGTGGCTCAGCTCTGGAGAATAGTCTAACAACAAATTCTCGTGTTGACTCTGATGGAACTGGGACTTGTCGCTCGAGTATTTGCCACGCACTTCATAGCTGCTTCATGGCACCTGCCTCACACAAACACACACACCCACCCATCCACACACACAGATACTGAATCGTAGCATTTTAATTTGATACACACAGAAGTAAATTCGATATGCGACATTTACTTAGCTTGATTGCCAAACAATGCCAAAACCAATGAAAAGCGACGAAAAACAACAGTGTGAGAAAATGTCAAACGAGATAAGAGTGAAAACTGAGCTGACAAAGAGACGTGGCCAAAAATATGAGCTGAAATCAACATTTATTATGCCTGTGCCAATAGCCTTTGCATAAATATAGCTGATTACATATTCGAGTGGGTTTCATCCTCTGATTGAAAAGCTTCTCAAGTGTAACGAAAAGTCAGCATCTGCTCAGTCAAGACTTGCTTTATCTTATTGAATGTTTGTGAAAGTTAAGATTTGCATAGGCATCAGCAGTCAAGAACTTTTTAAGCTGCTTGAATAACTTTTAATATAATCTAAGAGAATTCGTCTTATTGTTGTTTTAAATAATTTTAATTAGTTGCTGAGTTCTTAAGTTAAGACATATGTACATATTCATGTACTAAAACAAATGATCTAAGATAAGTAATAGATGTATATATTAGTCCATTAGTCATATCATAATTATGTTTATAGCCCCTAGATATTCATATATTAATGCTCATTCCTTGCTATGCAAAATAGTCGAACTCCATGAGAAGACAGTTGAGATATAGCTACATTCATACGGTAGTCAGATATCGCACTTGCTTCAACTTCATCTTTAGTTTATATCTCAGTCAGATATTTATTATAATATTTATTCATATCCGAGTCCTTTGCCTTTGGTATTTATTACTCTTTAATATTAATATATTGTGAAATAAATACCAAAAGCTATTTTAGAAACACAAAAATATATTGTATCATATACATATATGGGCATATTTACATATATATGAACACAAATGCTGTATAAAAAGTCAGCATTGGCATATATATGGTCATATGTCATATAGATGGTCATATATGTCATATATGTTGTGATATATTTCCCATATATTCACATATAAGTCTCATATAATCACATATATGTCCTAGATATGATCACACATGTCATATATATGCTCACATATGACATATATATGGAACGAACTTAAATGCTAGAGACACTTGAAAGAAGAAACTCTTAAGGTTTCTTAACTCATAGAGCTTGGTATAAAAATGTTGCTCAACTTTAGTTCACAGTTATCTGTTAGCAAGTTTACCTTTTCTACAGGGTATGCCCGCTGCCAGCTGCGCCTCGCCTAATACTTTTAGGCATATTTAATATTTATATATTAACACACATCGTTCACACACTTAACTTTATTTAACATTTCTATCTCTGTCAATCTGTAACGCATCAGCCACTCACTCACTCTCTCCCTCTCTCTCTCTCTTTCAGGTAAGTCTGACATTGATGGACTACATAAGCCGTTGCCCCGACGATGGATGCTGATAATGAACCGTTAGCTTGGGTAAATGAAGGATGATTATTATGTGGGTGTGCGTGGGAATGTGTGTTAACGGCATTTTTGTGACATTGTGTCAGAATTTGTCTTTTGTGACTTGTGCTGAGACTCAATTTCCTGAGGTCTGCCCTACGATTGATGCTCGTCGCCCACGCAAGTGCTTGCTTTTCGCACACTGTGCGTGGGCGGCCGCCTTGCCGCTTGACCTTTGGCCCGACAGACGGGCCAATGTCCTAGCCGCACGCCTCCGGCTTTGCCTCGCTTGGGTCACAAATTAGATTTACAAAAGGAAGGAAAATTTTCGCCACCTGTAAAAATTTGCAGCAAAGTTTTTTTAAGCTGCCGCAAAATGTCGCATTTGCTGACGGGTAATTACCATAAGATGGCGGCTAAAAGCCAAGCGTAGCATTGTGTGTATGCTTTTTTTTTATTTTATTTTCATGTTTCTTTTATCTTGGGCAACTGCCAGGAAAAGTGGGCCAAAAGTTGAGCAAAAGTTTTCATTAGTTTTGTCCTCCCCTAGCTGGCCCGCACAGGTACAACTTTCTGAAGCAGCTCTCGGAAAAATAAAACCAACTTTGACATATCTGCGGCAAAAGCAGCTGAAAGTGAGTTATCAACAAACATTTTGTAGCTGGCAAAATAATAAAAGAGGGAAAATAGTGAGAGCGTAAAATGGCATAAGCTAATGGATAAAACCGTAAAGAAATTTGCTGTCGACGCAAAATTGTTAACTAAATATTACGGAAATGTTATGGATACCCTCTTAAAAGGGAAGTGGGGTATATAGATTGCATACATATACGTGCATAATAGTTATTATAGAGTCTGACTTAGTTGTCAAGTAAATGTCAATCAAACACTCTATATATATACCCTATAAAAACTGATATAGGGCATATATGATTTCGTATTTATATAAGTGCTTGGCGTTATTATAGAGTATACGATTTTATATAGAGTATATATTTCATATAAACTTGTGCATCATCAAATGTTATATATACCCTATAAAAAGTAATAAAGGTTGTATAGATTGCATATGCTTATATGTGACTTATGATTATTATAGGGTATAATTGAATTGCAACTAAAACAATCTTCAAATAAAATATATACCCTATAAAAAGTGATATAGGGTATATATATTTAAAGCAATTTGAAGTGATTTATGGTAATTATAGGGTATAGTGTAGTAGTCAGCTAAACAATATTCAAATGTCATTTATACGCTTTTAAAATTGATATGGGGTATATATATTGAATATTTATAAATTATTTAGAGTTGTTACAGGGTATATTTTAGTGGAACTTTACTTTTACTAGTCATGCTTATGCTAAAGTCGTAAGTTCTTAGTTTTTCATAGTTTTCCTCGAGAACTTTGCCCAAAACTGAAAGATCTATGATTCATTTTCCTTCTGTCTTGTTCTTGAGACTGAATTTGCTCTTAAGATTTTTCAAGATTTACAAAAAAGGGAATTTTTTCCATAAGCGCATTTTTCATGTGAGTCTATTAACAAATTTTGGTGTCTTCAGCTCTTAGACTTTTCGAGTTATGCGTAAATAAAATTAAATTCAAAATGTTTTTTTTTACTCAAAACAAATCAAAGAGCCCTCTGTGAAGCCATTTCTAAATAAAAGCAAATAACAAAAAATCTGAAATGCAAATCAACAAAAAAATATAAGCAAAATAGAAGAAAAATTATAAATATGCATGAAAGCTTTAAGACCAATAAAAATAAAAATTTTCTTGACGGGCTTCAGCTTTAGCTGGTTTTTTGTCTAACAAAATATTTAAAAAGCAAAATTTCATTGCTGTGAAATCAAATGGAAAATCGTGTAGGCAAGAAAAAAAGAAAAGAAAATGAATGGAAATGCCCTTAAATTGCACAGTGCAACAATGATGTGTGTGAGATAAGAAGGGATTATATATATATATATATATATATATATATTTCTATTTTTAAGCTTTTAAATCTATTCGGTTTATTTGTTATTAATTTTATATTTTTTTAATTTTATGTATATATATATATATAGATATATATATATATTGATATATATTTTTATATATTTTTTATATATATATTTTTTTAAGCATTTAGATCTACTCAGTTTATTTGTTGTTAATTTTATTTTTTAATTTTTTTTAATTTGTTGTCCACTCTGTAACCACTGTGCACAATGCGCCTAAAAGCAGGCTACACCAAATATGCAAATGGCACCGATGCGCGTGTAGAAATGGGAGGAGAGGGAGAGGAAGAAGGAGAGAGAGAGAGACAAGCTTGTGTGTGTGTGTGCGTTGGTGTGGCTGGGGCTGTTGCTGTGTGCGTTTTGGCGTGTTTGGGACGGCGGCAGGCAGCAACTTAGTTGCCATAATTTTGCACATTTTAGCAGGCGGCGCATGCAGGCGACAGCTGATCCCCAGCTGCGTCACCCCCCCCCCCCCTGCCCTCGTGCATGTGATATACGAGTCGCATGCGTTTGATGGCAGCACAAATTGCACTAAATATTCGCACACAGCAACGTCGTAAATATTTTACAAAAAAAAAAAGGAAAAAAGCAAAGGAAAAGTTCCACCCGCTGCGTTTTTTTCTCGCTTTTGATTTTCCACTCGAATTTCCCGCTGCAAAAGAATGTTTGTCACATCAATTTAATAGCTCAAAGCCAAATGACAGTCAAATAGTCGTGGAGTTCTCTCGTTTTATTGCAGTTCAATTTCAATGTAGGTCAGCAACAGGCATTGTACAGTGTTCACTCGATTTGTTGCACCAGACGATCATCCTCAACGTCTCAGGTAGAGTGAGCTGTAGGGATAGGCGCTGTAGGCATAGGGCGAGGCGTAAACGCCGCTGGTGTAGGCTGCGGTGTAGGGCGAGGCGTAGACGCCGCTGGTGTAGGCGGCCGCATAGGGCGTGGCAGCCACATAGGGTGAGCTATAGGTGGCCAGGAATTGGGGCTTGGCGGCGGCCAGAGCGACAACGGCGAACAGGCAGAGAGCGAACTGTAAACGGAGCGGGAGAGAGAGAGAGCGTGAAATGAGTTAGTAAATGATTCGTGAACTAGTGGTTCAATTGAACAGCAGACAGTAAAACGCAGCTATAGAAGCTTGAAGCACAGCGAAAGGCATATGAGAGAGTTTTAGTGAACTAGTTTAAGTGAACTAGTTTTAGTGAACTAGTTCTTTTTTAGCTTGAACTGTTTTATTTCATAAAAACAGTACAAGTTTGATGTACATATGTATAAGACATTATTTATTGTAATGAGGTGTCCTTTACGGAGAACTAGTTCTTTTGAACAAAAGTATTTTTAGCTCGTTGGGAGCCAAGAAAAGCAAGTCTCACTAGACTACTTGTTGAAAAGGGAATTTGTTCCAAGGAACTAGTTCCACTTTATAGTTGCTGCGAACTAGTTCCGATTGTATTCACTTTACGTGCTCCAACAAATCTCTAATAGTCACAAATTTTTTCCACACTTTGAACTGCTTGACTTGCTGTTGAGTAGTTCCTTTTATCCTGTTCAACTGGTTCACTTTGGGAACTACTTACAAACTTGAACATCTTGATTGGAGTTGTTGCTGCTTGTGTATGACAAACTGATATGATTTATGAGCCCAACTAGTTGACGCTTTTATAGTCGCAGCCCGACGCAGACGTCACAAATCGAACAGAATCTGATAAATCGGACCAAGTCATGATTGACCATGGCACGTTCCGCTGGATTCGGTAGTTCATTTGATTTTTTGTTTTTTGTTTTTTTTTTTTTGTATTATTTAATTTAGCTGTGGGCCAAAAGTATGTGGGCTTTATGTGCCCGTCGGGTCGTGCGCTGCATTTGTAATAGGCCATAAGTTTTTGTATATATTTTTTTCCATTTCTGTTTACACTTGGGCTCCCAAAATCGGAAGTAATCAAAAAAAAAAAAAAAAAAAAAAAAACAGAAAAAAATTGAAGAAAACCCAAAATGCTTGTCGGGGCCAAGCACAATTATTGAGCCTTGTGGGCTAATTTGAAGGTTCCTTTATAATGATTTGAGGAAAGTCTACATGCATTTATTTGTTGTCAACTACAGTAGACGCGCGCTAGCTAGAACTTGAGCTGGTTTACTGCCTGCAAACTAGACATTTTGATGGGCTTTACGTGCCTTAGAAAACTATGCAAAGCTCGATGCTTTTAATAGGCTCTGAGTTTTATATATAGTCAACAATTTTTCTTTCCTTTTTGCTATGTCTATATAGTTGTAGATTATATATATACTAAGTTACATTGTCTATATATAGATATAGATTATATATATATAGATTGCTTATATATAGATATAGATTATATATATAGCAAGTTACATTGAGCAGCTTAAATGGGCTCCGACTGTCCGTCCGTGCGTCCGTTCGTCTGCTCGTCAGTTCATCCCACTGCTTGGCGGTGTCTGTCCATCTGTCGTTCTGTCTGCTTCCATATATATAAGATCAACTAACATACTTAGAAACTTCAAATATTACTCGCAAGTTTTCCAACTCAGCTATAAATGCTCAGCAAAGGTTGCAGGGTATTTGCTAGTCGAGCACTTCCGACTTGTGTAAAACTGTCAAACTCTACACGAAAAACATTTAACTAAGAAGTAGCAACAACTAGTTAGGCTTTACTGTACCAGGCTAATTTGTAGGCACTTTTCAGCTACTTGAAGTGGCTCTAGCCAGGAGCAGCAGCTGCTTTACAGCTATTGAAAGTCCAGCTGCCGCCCATTGTCTATCAACTTTGCTGCACTCCAGCTCTCTATACACTAGATTATATATATATATATATATCTACTAGATATATATATATTCAATTTGTCAAGTTGCTAAATTAAAGCAGCTTGACAGCAAGTCCTTGGTGCATCCTTTTGTCTTAGCCATGGCAACGTCTGCTGCTGGTTCGCATTTTGCATTTTAAATCCGACATAAATTAAGTTGGCAGCTCTGCATTTTGATATCTCGACAGATATTTCAATGTCTGGAATGTCGCTTTGTCTAGATTTCATAGTTAATTTGAAGCAATGTCAAATTGTTAATGGAATTTTGTTGCAAACGTTGCAAATTATTTAAGTTGTGCCAGAAATGAACGCCGAACTAGTGAACTAGAATCGCTGAACTACAACTAGTTCTTTTAAAGCTGGAACTAACTGGGTGCAAGTGAACTAGCGACACTTCTTTAAGCTTAAAAGTTAAATGTGTTCTTTTAAATATGGAACTAGTTCAAATTTTTTCAATGTGAAAGCAATTCCAAACTGAACTAGTGCTTAGTTCCTTAGCATATCATGAGAAATATGCTAGAAAACATCTTAAAAAATAACTAAAAATTTGCTTATCTATATATAATTGACTGAAATGTTCAATTTCATAAAGATATACATATTCATTCCATTAACATTTATTTACCACAAATTTCTATCCCTCTTTGACAAATTTCTATACCCGTTGCATTTACTCGAAATCCCTTCCAATTATTTATGTATTCAAAGCTCTCCGCCCGCTCTTAATCATAGTTCAAAGCATTTTAAATAAACCTGCAAACACAAATGCCCTCACACGAAGCAGAACTCCTCAATTATTTACGCATAATTCACTTCAAATTTAAACAGCCTGAAACAGTTTGGGAGTCATTGGTCGGCTACAAATCTCTCGCATGCTATAAAAAAATTATCACAACATAACGTTTCGTTTGCTGTTAACGCTGCAGTGGCTCTGCAACTGTTGTTGTTGTGTACGCGCTTTGCTCTCTGTTTGTCTCTCTCTTTCTCTTGCGCCTGCGCTTTGGCCTGTGCCGGCATTTTACCAAAACAATTCCTAGACACACACGCCTCCCGCCCACCGTGGCCGCCCCTTGGCGCACGCTTCCGTTTCCTGTGCTACATATGTGTATACTATATATGGGTCTCTCTCCAACTGTCTTTGCAAATGAAAACAAAAATAAATGACTTTGTGTGGGATCTAAAAATAGATTATGAATTTCAAATTTTCCAAGTAGTTTTCGTATTTTTCGTATTTTGTTTTTGGGAACCGCCGGAGAGATTGCGTGTAGCAAATGGAATAGAAGAAACAAGGTAAATTGCTTTTGAAGTGGAGTAAAAACAAAACAATATCAACATTTCATTTTTGATTGCTCCATTTGCTTGGGAAATATGCTTATTGGGTTGGGGGAGGACTGGGATGTTTATAGTTAGTGATGAGAATTAAGTCAGATACTTAAGTATGTATGTGTGTGTGGATTATTGTCTGTGCTGGTCATTGGCTCATCGCTGTTTGGAATGAATCTACATGCGTGTGTGTGTCGAGGGAAGAGAAGGCGAGAGGGGAAATAGTTTTTATGGGAATTTATGCAGTTTAAGTGGAATGTTGAGAAATGTTCACATTTCGGTTGCGTTGAGCTGCTCGAAATTGGCAATTATTAGTAATTAGTTAATGAACACCTATTTTAAATGTCTCATTAATGTGTAAGCAACGAAAAGCCGCTATAAATCATTGCCTAATATTAATAATCGCCACAATCAAAATTAATCTTTCCTGATAACGTTGCACAATTAATAAATATTTCAGTAACGTATGAAATCCCGTTCATTTTATTCAATTTTTATTTATAATTAGCTCTGTCTGCTAATTAAGACCCTCTCCGTACATTTTCAATTGTCTTTGGTTTTGTTTTTTGTTGTTTTTGTTTTGTGTATGTTTTGCTTTGTGGGAATTATGTTATTCACATGCTGCTCGCATGCTATACATTTTTAAAGTACTCTCTCTCTCTTTCTCTCTCATTCTATTTGGCTGCCACGCTCAGCTGCCGATGTTGCCAGACTGTTAAATTGTGATTTGCTTGAAATTTATAATAGGATATAAAATTAAATAAATTTTAATATATGACTGCAGCGGCTAAATAAATTTGACTCATACAATATATTCTTAATTAAGTTTATAAATATTTAATTAAATAACTTTTGCTTATCAAATATCTGCCGCTAAGACTTAACATAAGCTGAGCGTGCGCTGTTAAATTAACAGACTTACACAGAAACAATCGCGCGAGCGGGAGAGTAACTTATCGTTGAAAACAACAACTGCTTTGGTAAACACCAACACACACATACCTTTGACTAGAGATGAGCGCAATGCGGCAGTGACGACCACTTGTGAACGACAGTGACTGTTTGAATATTTCATTAATATGAAATAAAAACTTAAGTATTAATTAATAAAATAAAGGCAACATATTATTTTAACTCGGTTTAGATTTATTCTTAAGTAAGAGGTGTTTTTAAACGTATGCATACTCAATTTATATAGTAAACTGTTACCCGAGAATGCGTGAGAGCGACTCCATACGTGTATAAAATAACATGTATGCGATTATTATTCATCACTGTTGATGTTCGCCTCTCTTGGCAGAGTGTGTATGAAGCGAGTCGAAAAAAAACCGTTGAACGAGTTGGACGCGCGGTCTGCGGTTCATGCAAAAACAAACGCAAATGGACGCCAAATTTGTTGTTAAAATTAATTCAACTAACTAAAAAATGTTAGTTTGACGAAATTGTATTGCCGTTGTGTGTTTCAACATATACCTCTTGTTTCTATTGCGCGTCGCGTTTCAAGTGTATGTGTGAGTGTTTTGGTGTGCTAGTGTGCGTGTGAGTACATTGGTATGTTGTGCATTAATAAATTATTAGTAAATCATTAATGAGCAAAGCAGAAAAGTCAACACGCAAATACTTGCGAAAATTATTATCGCCAGCTGCAGGGCAAGTGTAAGTGAAAGAGTGAGAGGAAGAGACAGAACAGCAACGCCGCCGCAACGGCGGGTAAACAAATGGCAGCGTTCTATGGAATGTGAAGGCAAACGAAGAACAAGAAGAGAGTGAGACACACAGTAGTAGCATTCAAAGAGTGCCCAAGCGAATATATGAAAAAAGGGAATATATCAATAAAAAGACTTGTGTTTAATCAAAAATTGGTTTTTCATTTCAATATCGAATCGAAAACAAAGTGCAAAAGGCAACAACTGCTACAGCAATAAAAAACTACTAAGCGCCCAAAAAGAAAATCCGGTTTTACAACTTCTAAAGCCGACGTCGTCGCCGCCGCTGTCGGCGTCGCCGCATTCTGCGCTGCTGCCGTTTTATCTCTCGTTTTTTGTTTTTTATTTTTTGTTGTCTCGCGTTTTGTTGCATGCATTGTGTTGAAAATTTCATTAAAATTTGTTGAAAACTGCAGGTGTGAATTAAACTTTCAATGAACCAAACGAAACTGACAAATAAATAAATAAAAATAACAAAAGCAGATGGCAAACGTCAGCGCTGGCGTCGACAGCGCTGTACAGGTGCCAGCAACAACAACAACAACCGTTTTTCTATTTCTGTTATACACAAACAGCAGCAGCAGCAGCGGCAGCAGCACTGACGTCGACTGCGGCGTCGACAGCGGCCATTTGTGTATTAATAAAAAAGGCAGCATAAAATATTTATGAAAAAAGTGAAATCAATAACAAAACAAAGTGAACAAATCAACAACATATTTAAACAATCTATTATTAAAATACATATTAAATATGCTCTCTCTTTTGCACTTCTGAATAGTTTTT